AAAAAAAAAAATATATATATATATATATATATATATATATACCGTCACACGCGCTAGCATGTTGAAAATGGCATAGCCAATGGGAAAACAAAATTGAGTAACAGTCGCACCTCGCACAGTACAGTAGCGAGTTAAATGTAAATAACATCCGATCCAAGTAGGTAGGCGGCAGTGGCAGTAAGAGGCACGTGCTTCCCCGTCCCTCTCACTATTTAAATAAATACTCCTGCACGAACCTCTCTCCTATTCTTTCATCTTCCTCAAACCTCTCTTCACCAAAAATTACTTTTTTTTTTTTGTTTTGTTACCAAAAAAATCCCTAGTTAGATACTTCGAATATCTCTCATTCTCATTTACGCTCTTTGACTTTTTCACCCTCACAGATTTTTTATTTTTTAATTAGAAAATAAAAAAAAGGAAGAGAAAGAAGAAGATGGCGGAGGAAGGGCAAATACAGAGCAGCAGCAGTAGCGGTAGCGGCGGCCGAGCTTCTTCCGGCCCGATTCGACGAGTTCTCCTCATCTCCGCTGGCGCTAGTCACTCCGTTGCCCTCCTCTGTAAGTTTCGCTCATCAATTTTAGGAAAATTGGCCAATGCCTTTCTATCGTTGTTAGTTTCCTTTCCTTTTTTTTTTTTCTTTTTAAATCTAATTTATTCAGTTTTGAATCTTTTGATTGAGTGAGTGTTCTTCGTAGTAACTCGAATCGACATTTACTGTGGTGATTTATGTGAAATTTGGAGGTAAATCTGAATATCGGTAGAGATTGGAAATCCAATCCATTCTCTCATGTTTTTGCATGGACTGTAATGATCCACGTCAAACGTTTGGTATTTCTGAAGTTGATAGAGGGTATTGTGGTAATTGCACTTGATAATCAATGTGCCTGGCTTGGGAAGTAGCGAGCTTAAACTTATTTTCTAATTGACAAATTAGATTTTGGACCAAAATTGGAAACAATAATGACTACCGACCTTTTCCTCTGCCCGTAGTATTTTTTTTTTTCTTTTAAATTTAAATTTGACAAATATTTTTGGATAGCTGTCTTTCGAACAATTATGGCCTTGTTTTGTAATAAGAAGTTAGCGCATTGCATTAGATGTTTTGACCAGTGTGAGTTATTTTTAAATATATTTCATAAAATTAACTATTTTTATTTAACTATTACATTTAATATTATTTATAAGGACATCAACATACTTGAAATTTATTTTTATGTAGATATTTATAGAATAAAACAAAAATATTTATGTATTATTTTAATATTAACAAAAAAAAGTATAATATTAAATATGTTTAAATTATGCTTTCATATGTATCATAATAAATGTAAAAACTAAATAGAATATAGGAAAATTTTTATTTGTACAAAATTACATGAACAAATGTTCAAAGGGAAAATGAGAAAAATGTTATTTTGGCTCTTTCTTCTTGAAATGTGATTGTGTGAACTTGAAATGTTATGGATTTTGCATCTAATTGTTACAAATTATTTAACTTTTAAACTACATACTTTTACTTCTATCGCCTTCCAACAATGTTTGTTGGCGTTTGTTATACTTTGAAAATAGCTTGATTTCATTCTATTTTATTTGTTTTTGGAAAACACATCTAACTCTTTCTTTTCCATACAATTAAATTCCTTTTTATTCGAAAACTAAATTAATTCCAATTTTATTTTAATAAAACCAACATACGTTTACTTGTATCTTGTTCGAGCAATATTTGTTTGCATCCATTCTTCTATGAAAATAGCTCGGTTTCATATGTTTTTTCTTGTCCAACACATCTAATTTGTTCTTATACCATATAAATGAATTTGGTTTTTTCGTAGACTATTAATTTTAGTTTTATTAAGAATTGATGTTTGAATTCATATCTAAACCGTTTTTAAATTGCAATTTTCTAATTTAAATTAGGGGCAATTTTGCCATTAAATGGAGCACAAATAATTATCTGTAATTTTGCTGAAATGTAAATTTGCCATTAAATTTCCAACAAGTATTTCAATAATAGACTTTTTCAGCAATCTTGCCATTAAATTAGGGGCAATTTCGCCCATAGGAATTTAATTGTATAAAAAAAAAAAACTGAAAGCTAAACAAAAACGCTTCAATATGTAGCGTTTTGAGTTTCAACTTTTTGAGCAAATAAGTTAGAAAGAAAAATTGTTAACCAAACATCATTTTTAGCGGATCCTCAAAGTCAAATAAGTCAAAATGCACAAACAACGAATTTTGTACAGAGAGTTGTTATCCAAACATAGCCTTTATCAATTACTCAAGAAAAACATATTATGCATATCAAAAACTTATAAATTCAAAAAATGTGAGTTTCACAATATAAAAATTTATAAAAAAAAAGTTAGTTAATTATTTATCAAATATATGAAAATTTTATGCTTCAAAATAATATGTTTTGTCACAATGAAGCAAAATAAATATATAAATAATTAATAATAAAAAATAAATAGATCTTATTGGTACGTGCTAATTAATTATGAAGCATCAATGCTGTATATTTTTTCTCCCTATTATACTTTCATATATGTTGATTACACTTTCTCAAGTCTCGCCTAGTTGCTGTTTAGTGCACTAATATTTAATAAAATAGTTTACCATACCTCTTTCAGTGTACTATTACGTATCTCGTGCGATATACGAGACAATAATTATAATTGAATATTGTTCGAATATCACTTGTGAATTGCCCACATTGTACAGTTTATAAGCCTTGTTTATAATTGAATGTAGTATATGAGCCTAGTTTATAAGCCTAATGGGTTACTCTTCTCATCACCAATTGTGTTGGGATGAAACCTCACTAAGGTCCACCTAGGCACCCTCTTATGGTGTGCTTCTGCTGGTGGGACAACACCCTCTTACCCGATTCTAGTAAATATATTAAAATAATGAACCAATATTGATTAGTATAAAATAGTTTTGAATATTAATAGTTATATATTATTTATTGTATGATGTATAATAATTTAATATATGATTTATATATTTATTCACTCGTTATAAAATAGTTGTCATTTTATATCCTTTTTATAATTAAGATAATAAAAATTTAACATATTTAAATATTGTCAATAAATAATACGTGCATAATGATTCTCTCTCTCTCGCTCTCTCTCACTATCTTCTCTTAACCATACCTTGTTAAAATATATTATTTTAATTTCTAGATAAGTTAGGCTAAATTTGAAAAATTGTGGCAAATATTATAATCAACTCTTAATTGAAAAAGATTGTAATATATATTATTTGAAGTTAACAATACTATTAATTTTCAATTACATCAATATTATTTTATTTTCTTACAATTTATAATATTATAAGTATTTTAATTTTTTTCGAGCCTATTAACTTGTATGAGATTTGTTGTGACATTGTGAATCACAAAATAATTTTTTTTAAAAAAATTGGTTTTTGGTGCAGTTGTTGATAAAATCATAGGATATTTTTGAATTACTTAAATAGATGATTTTCGGTATATGGCTCGTTACGAAATGAATAGAAAATCTTATGGATTTGTTATTAATGTTAAAATATCAATTCTATTATAGTATTGTGTTAGTTATATCAATAGGGTTTTTGCAATTAATTTCTAATTTTATTTTGTACTTATATTTTACATTGTTATCATGCATATTTCGATCTATGGCTCCCAACAAAACAGGAGAACACATAATTTGTTATTAAGGGTAAAGATTGATTTGTCATTGAAGATAAATAGTTAAATTATTTTCTTTTGATGTATATTTTGAAAATTTAGGTTTATAATTTTTGAAAAACTTGAACGACTGATAAATCAAATTGTTCTAAAATAATCTCTCGATTAAATGATTTTTGGAAAATACGATAAAAATTATTTTGGTATATGGTTAGATACTGAATGAATAAGAAATCATCGTCATTTGTTATTAATGTTCATAAATAAGATTCCATTGTAAAATTATGATAAATATCATAATAGAATTTCCATAATTGATTTTTAATTTTTTGTTTTGTAATTATATTTGCAATCTTATTGTGCATATTCAAATGATGTTTTCTAACAATGAATAATATTTAATAGACTTTTTTTGAAGACATGTTGTATGGTTGATTACCAAAAAATTAAGGAATTGCAGTGATCCGTAATTAACATGAAGAATCGATTTTTTATTGCGATAATTGTCACAAAATAATTTTCGAAATGATACCACTTTATGTAAATAGAAAGTCGTGTATTAATCGGATTGCATGATTTACAATAGACTGGGATAATTTAATTTTTATTTATTTATAAATATTAAAGTATTGTTTACTATATTTCCCATAATATTTAAGATTATTCTATCAATCTCTTTCTCTCTCTCTCTCTCTCTCTCTATATATATATATATATATATATATATATAGATTTGTTTCTCTCTTTTAGTATCTCAAGTTTCATTTTAATCCATTAGACAATCTCAAATCCTATTATTTTACTCTAACAACTTTGGAGCAGAGGAAAATATACATCAATACAATTATTTATTTTGTTTAGTAACTTTAAATTTTGATTTATAGTTGTATTTAAATTTCATTTTGTACTAATATATTTCATTTAGAATAAAATGTAGCGCGAACGACTGAATACTAAATTTAGACATTCTTTACTCTAGAGTAGTTTACCATTCGTGGTGAGACTTTTATTATTTTTCAAGATAATATTATATTAGTAATTAATTCAAGTCCATTGATTAAACTAATAAATTATTCAATAAGCAATTTTATTTCTACCTAATAATTTTTTATTTTTATATTTAGTAATGTGATATCCATCATTTGAGATCACAGTTTCGAAAAATCATAATCAATTATTCACTTTCTACCTGATCTAGAATGTTGTTTGATTTGAAAAATTTAAATTAACGATAGGATTATAGATTAACCATTCCAACAATAATTATTTTTGCATATTAAAAAAAATATCCTAAAATACCTAAAAACTTATTAATATTTTTATTTGTTATCCTTTTTTTCTTTAGATATAATTTTATATTTAGTAATGTGATATCTATTATTTGAGATTACAGTTTCGAAAAATCATAATCAATAATTCAATTTCTACCTGATCTAGAATGTTATTTGATTTGAAAAATGTAAATTAACGATAGGATTATAGATTAACCATTCCAAACAAAAATTATTAGTATATAAAAAAATATTTCCTAAAATACCTAAAAACTTATTAATATTTTTATTTGTTATCCTTTTTTTGTTTAGATATAATGTCAATTAACCTTCATTTTACATCTTTGGTTTGATGTTAATTAACCTTCATTTTACATCTTTGGTTTGAACTCATATCTTATGTGTAAATAAAAAGTAATTATTTCTAAAGCAATAATAAGATTATTAGTTAATATTGAATATATAAATAAACTTAAAGTTATTATTGAAAATTGATATAAAAAAGAGAAATTAGTCTCAGTTTATTCTTACAATAAAATATAAATGTATATATAGTAAAATGTGTTTAGTATAAAATAATATATAATACTAATTGGTATATTATGTTTTAAGGGTTTAAAAAAGTAATACAAAAAACTGAAAGGGTTTTAAAAAGTAATACTAACAAAAATGTAAGATTATAAGTAAACAATTATTTTGAGAATCAAGTATATAAGATATTAGAATGATAACCGAACGGGCTATTCGTCAAACTCATATGTATATTATTTAATTATAAAGAATTAAAATATTTATAATATGTATTTTTATAAATTACGTTGTGAGTCATCTCTATATGAACTATATTTTTGGAAAGAAAAATAAAAATATATATAATATATATCGTTACAAATTATGATGACAAACCAACAAAAATATCTATGTAAATTATTGACTTGAAAAAGAAACAAAATATTTATAATTTATATTATAAATTATATTGTAAACCAACAACTCATTTGTCGAACAACGATTTAAATTAATTGTCGGTTTATAATATTTACCTTGTTTTACAACTTTACCATCACTATTTAAGAGTCAAAATAATATTGTAATAAGGAATGATTAAGAAGAGAGAGAGAGAGAGAGAGAGAGAGAGAGAGAGAGAGAGAGAGAGAGAGAGAGAGAGAGAGAAATAATTTTGTGAGTAATATTTATTGATATCGTTTGAATATGTTAATTTATTGATAACATTTGATTATGTTAATTTTTCATATTCCTTAGGTTTAAATAAGAACTCTAAAATGTCAGTTATTTTATTACGGGTGAAATATACATATATTAATCTTATATAAAAATATTCTCATGAAAATAAAAGAAAGGATAAAAATTAATACTAATATTAAAATTATATTATACTAGTAAATATTGATTCATTGCTTTAATTTATTAGATTATCATTATTGTCCCGTGCATCACACGAACTACGTATTAGTTATGTTTAAATACTTCTAAAGATAAAAGATTATTTTTGGAAAAATAGTGTATAGTATGAACTTGGTAGTTGAAAAGGCAGTCTTGTGAACTCGACTAGAAGTTGAGTTGTTTTTCATCTAAAAAATAATATGAACTTTTAAGAAGTTAAACCAAATACTCATTTTTAATTAAGTCTACAAATTGTTGATAGAGTTAAAATCAGGGGCATTTTTCACTAGTTAATATGATTTTCAAACAATAAGTATGATGCCAATGTGGAAATGTACTGCAGCTGGCAATGTTGTCTGCTCATGGGGACGGGGAGAAGATGGGCAGCTAGGCCATGGGGATGCTGAAGAACGGTTTTTTCCAACTCAGCTAAGTGCACTGAACGATGAAGAAATAGTCTCTGTTACCTGTGGAGCTGATCACACGACTGCATATTCGGAATCAAAACTACAAGTGTACAGCTGGGGATGGTATATTCCATTCTATCACCAAGTGATATTATTATTACTATTATCATCATCTTCATTGTTATTGTTGTTGTTGTTAATGATGATAATGCTTGTACTGGGACATGCTTAGCTGGGAAACTTTCTTGTGATATTTTTTTTTTAATCTTTAGATGAATTCTTGATTGTTTTGACTGTGTCCTGTATTACTATTATTTGGTGAGAGCATGCAAACATGTTGCAGGGGTGATTTTGGGAGGTTAGGCCATGGTAACTCTAGTGACTTGTTCTCTCCCCAACCAATCAAAGCCTTGCATGGCCTTCGGATAAGGCAGATTGCTTGTGGGGATAGCCATTGTTTGGCAGTGACTATGGAAGGCCAGGTTCAAAGGTTGGTTGCTTGAGTTCTTAACGGTTCTATGTCATAAAATTGTGCAATTTATTTATTTATTTATTTTGGACAAAAGTTGATCAATATTTAAAGAGATAAGCTTATGTATGCTTAAAGAAGAATCTGCCTAATCTTTTATTGTAAGAAGATTTCTTGTATGTACCTACCTCAGATCAGTAATGTGAAGTAACATAACATCTTAGTCGTGAAGGCTGAGACTTTGGAGTAAAACTCTGATAACCGAAAGGAAAAATCAGAAAGAAAGGAGAACAAATATATAATTTTTAAGGAGTATATAATATCTAATGGGCTGTCGTATGACTTGTAAAATGCATTGTATGGATGAGGATGGTAGCCAATAAAGTTAGATCGTGGCTTGTATCATTCATACTTCCAACCGTACATCCTCCATTTATTGATGAAAATAAAAGTGAGTTTTTATGAAGATGCAGTCACATATTTTAATGATAATATTATCACTCTCAAATTTAACTTCCAGAAAAGTGGGGACACTATTGCATATGCTCTTAAAGGTAACTATACATTAGTTTATTGCTTTTATTTGGAAGAATATGTCTCCTATAAGTGCACTGAACTTAACCCAATCTATCCTGATTCATAAGATCCTTTTATCTTCTTCTGTCTTCCAAAAACAAAAGCTGGAGTCGTGTGCTGACCTTACCTCTTTTGAACTGAAGTTGGGGGCGAAATCAAAATGGTCAACTTGGACTTGGGACCACGGAGGATTCTCTTGTACCCCGAAAAATTGAAGCATTCCAGGTATTAGCAGGGTACTTGTCATTGAGAAATTTTCAGCACTATCTTCGTCATTTCTTGATTGGTAGCACAAGGTATTTACATACTGATATTCATGTGGTTATTGAGAATGGTGGATATGATCCATAGAATACAGATGTGCTGGAAATAATCAATCAACAAAAATGTGATCAATTTAGTGTCACCCACATTTTCGTGATTTATTTAGTGATGCATGTAAGCATTTCGTACATTCGTAGGGGATCTCAGTCAAAATGGTTGCTGCTGGTGCCGAACATACAGCTGCTGTGACAGAGGATGGACAACTATATGGTTGGGGTTGGGGCAGATATGGTAATTTGGGTTTAGGTGACAGGGATGATCGCTTAGTGCCAGGCAAAGTTTCAACCAATGAGGTATGTCAAAATTCCATGCATAATTCTATGAATGATGGATGAGCATAGGCTCTCTGTTGACCTATTTGTAAGTTTTCTCTTTTCATTGTCTACAAAATCTATCAATATATCCATTTAGGATTTTGATTTTGAAAAAGGAAAAGTACATTGTGAGATGTAATAAACTTGATAATGAAAATCCCAATTGCTTGTTATCTCACTAGATTTTGGCTGTAAAGGATAACCCCTTCTTTCCTATTAATTATATCTGGTATAGTTGAAGTTAACTTATTAAAAATAAAAAACCAAAAACTAATGATGTAGTGCATATTATATGGAAGTTGTTGTATGTGAAACCAAACAACATATTTAGTTCTTCTCTCTTTATCCTTACTGATATGAAGCTTTTCAAGTAAGCATTGCGTCTTCTGTAGGTTTTTTTCCAACATGAATGACCTATTTGTTTCTGTAGATAATTTGTAAGCTGGGCATGGAACTTTTGAGGATCGGTGATATATTCAGTGTTCCGTTGGAACTGCAAAAATATTGTTTATGTTTTGAAAGAAAAAAAAAAAAAAGGAAAATAGAGGTTCTCCACAAGTTCTACACACCATGATACCCTTTTAGTTCTTGTTTTACATAACCGTAACTATAAATCTAAGTATTCCCTACCCTTGTATGAAGTGACATTTTAAATTTAGTTTGCTTAAACTTTCCTTTGTTTTAATCACCTTAAACTTCGATCATATTACTCAATGTAGGGAGAAAGGATGGTCCTAGTCGCATGTGGATGGCGACATACAATATCTGTCTCCTCTTCAGGTAGTTTGTATACTTATGGGTGGAGCAAATATGGCCAACTAGGACATGGGGATTTTGAAGACCACCTAATCCCTCATAAGCTGGAAGCTTTGTCTGAAAGTTGTATATCTCAAGTAATGACTTCTTTCACACCAATATACTTGTTTAAGAAGAATGCTTCCGTTATGGCCTAAGATTTGACGCGTGTACAAGTCTTTTTCAGTATCTCAATATCTATGCTACCTGTATTCCGGCATTATCCATATACATAGAATATGTAACTACAAGACCATGCATTTGTTTTTTGTAACTTTTTCTTCGTTCCATGCCCAGGTTTCAGGTGGATGGAGACATACAATGGCAGTTACAAGTGATGGAAAACTTTATGGCTGGGGCTGGAACAAGGTCCCAAACTTCACTCTCTTAAATGTAGCAACATTTTACTCTGTATCAATGATTCTCTAGTAATTTACAAAGTTTAAGGATAAAATACATATTACTTTCTATGCGCCTCTACGTGGTGGAATCCTTGGGAAATGGAGCTCTCTGTCTCTATTGCCCCGCCGTCTGACGAGAATTCTTAAGTCGGTCAATGCAGTTTTATTCATCCTCAGAAATATTGTTTTTATTTGGTTTGTTATGCCACCTGCTGAAGTTAATCAAGAAACATTTTGATTTTTGAAATTCTTCAAGAAGTATCCTTGATCATGTCCATCCATTAGCTGGGTCTATCGTTTTTATCTGCCTGCATCTAACTTTGTGATTTTTAAGTAGGCCAGTAAGTTTTGTCTCTGTGTCAATGTTGTCATTTTGGTATCTTTTACCTGAAAATTGTTTTGTTTTTCCTTTTTCATGTCCAATATAAATGATTGTGAATTTTGACTTTCTATGTGTAAAGTTTGGACAAGTTGGTGCTGGTGACAGCTTAGATCATTGCTCACCCGTGCAAGTCAAATTTCCACAGGATCAGGTAAACTCTTGATTCTCCATTGTTAGATAGCATTAGACTTTTTAAGCGACAACCCTCTCTCTCTCTCAACATATCTATCTATCTATCTATCTTTTTTCTTTCTTTTTCTTTTGTTGGTAGTTTTGTAAAAGTCGGCTCTCACTGGATTTTTGTAAATTGGACTTTCCATGCAGAAAGTAGTGAAAATCTCATGTGGTTGGAGACATACACTTGCTGTTACAAACAGACAAAACGTGTTTTCATGGGGAAGGGGTACAAACGGCCAGCTTGGCCATGGTGAATCTGTTGATCAGTAATGTCTTCCCAACTCATTTCTCATTTCTAATGCAATGTTGATGATCCAAACTTGTTTTGGAATTTATTCGACTTGAAACTTATAAATGTTCGAATTTTTACTATCATTTCTATATATGTTTAATTTGCAGAATGAAGAAATTTATCATCAACCCCATAACTATGTTTGGAGCTTTCTAAATCTTGCAACCTTAATATTTTAAGTCGATGTCAGATTTTCATGGAGATAATAAACAACCTTAAGATTTAGACTGCTTTTCTCAGATTGCTAACTTCATTGAGTTACCATTGCAAAATGGCATATATATATTCTGTGCAAAACTTTTCTGGTGATCTCTAAATGATTTTCACTCTACTACTCTGATGGTGTAGAAATGTCCCGAAGATTATAGAGGCGCTAAGTATGGATGGATCAAGTGGACAGCACATTGAGGCCTCGAAAGTTGACGTATCATCAGGTTTTCCCATAAACCTCTATTCATTGGTCTAGTTTTTAGTTATATCCAAGTTGTGTTGCTGTACTAACTAATTGAGGGTTTATATCAGCAGAAAAAACTTGGGTTTCCCCGACCCAGAGATATGCAGTCGTCCCTAATGAGAATGTAAGTGCATACGCTTGAATACAAATTAAAAAAAAAAAATCGACCATATATTCTATGTTCAATCTAACTCAATCTCATTATCTTTAATATTATCAATACAATAATTAATAATACCACTCAACCAATGTTACACATTACATCAATTTTAATTTACTGTTCATCCACTTATATAATTTTAATCATAACTTCACGTCATATCTCTTATATTTTTAAATCAAATTTTAGGTCAAATCTCTTATGTTTTTAAATCAAATTTTGATTATTTTATTTTAAATATTGTTATGTTAATATAAACTCAAAATCTCGCTAACTAGTCATATCACTTTTTTTTTTTCAAAATTATATTAATTATACCAAACCAAAAAATCTAAACAAAATCAAATCATCTTATTTAGACTAACAATAACTAAACCTGATGTTTATTTAATTTAATGTTGTTTTCTCTTTGTTTTATTATCTATCTCCATTAACATTAAAGCATGCATGAAAAGTTGAAATACACTGAAAAAATATGGATCGAACTTTTATCTGTCTGTTGGATGAAGCAGATGATGCCACTTCTTCGCAGGTCTCTGGAACGACGTATGGTGGCAACGGAAATGACGTTAATGTCCCTGAAAGCGATGTAAAAAGAATGAAGATTTGAAATGCGAAAAGTGAAGGAAGAAGTTGTGTCCGGCTATTCCCATGAGTGTGTATTTAGAACAAATGTGTTGCTGAAATGACACTGCTATTGGCCAATGGTATATAAGCTCAACTGTTTTGTGACAAAATGTTATCTAGCATATGTACTGAGGGAAAAAAAGTAAAAAA